TCTTCTTCTTCTTCTTCTTCTTTTTTTTTTTTTTTTGCTTGAGGAAGATTGTCCTTGAGCTAACATCTGTGCCAGTCTTCCTCTATTTTATATGTAGGACACTGCTACAGTGTGGCTTGATGAGCGGTATGTGTGTCCAGGCCCAGAATCCGAACCTGCGACTCACAGGTTGCTGAAGCAGAGCGCACGAACTTAACCACTATGCCACTGGGCCGGCACCTCATTATTCTTTTTTAAGCGAATTTCTTTCCATAGATTAGAAGTTGCTTAAAACCACAGGTAACAGGATAGAGGTTAATAGTGTTTGGGTCATAGGAGAATGTTTGATTTATTTAAGACTACAGACTTTTCAAGAATTTATTAAATACAAATAATTGCTGTTTACATTTAGTATTGGCCAATCCTTTGAACTATGATTCAGATTTGTTACTAATTTATTCCATCCTTTTCCCATTTATCAGTCTGAGTAATACCTTTTCTGCATTAATATTTTTCTAAATATGTGTTATATCCTATGGGATAAGTACAAATGCAATTTACCATGTCATAGTGCCCCCTTTTTATTCTCTTTTACAGCATGGGTAAGTTCTCTCTCCATGGGGATGATTTTCTTTTGCTGCCCAATAGCCAGCGTCTTCACGGACATATTTGGTTGTCGGAAAACAGCTGTCCTGGGTGCTGCTGTTGCATTCATTGGACTCTTGTCCAGTTCTTTTGTAAGGTAAGGACTCAGTTTCTTCATGTTGCTTTTCAAGAACTCTTAGATACTTCAAAGTTTTCCTTTCAGAAACTTTGCTGTTTACAAGGAAAAATCCTCCTTTTCATTGCTTAAAACTTTAAGCAATATGACTCACATATTGTAAGTCATGGCAGCACAGAGAGCTTGAGAATTTGAATGCTGTTGCTTGCAGCACCTGAGTTAGAGGTTCGGATATATACATTCCCTGGAGCCAAGAAAAATGGTTCTCCTTTGGTTTGTTTCTATTCACATAAAAATCCTAAAAGAACTCAAGTTATAACAGTGAGTTGTCTAAAGTAATGGCCTTAATTTAAGGTCAGCTTAGTCTGAGGCCCAAAGGGTACAATAAGTGGTATTTTGAAGGAGTTGTTCATAGGCTCAATAGGAAATATTTTTATTAATGAGATCAAAACTTTGCTATTTATTTCAACGTAGGTAGAGAATTCCTGTCTACTTTTTTTTATTTTTATTTATTTATTTAATTTTTTGTGAGGAAGATCAGCCCTGAGCTAACATCCATGCCAATCCTCCTCTTTTTGCTGAGGAAGACTGGCCCTGGGCTAACATCCGTGCCCATCTTCCTCCACTTTATGTGGGACGCTGCCACAGCATGGCCTGACAAGCAGTGCGTGGGTGTGTGCCCAGGATCCGAACCCGGGCCGCCAGCAGTGGCGCATGCTCACTTAACCACTACGCCACGGGGCCGCCTCCTACGTTTTTTTAAAAAGAACATGCTAAAATTTAAAAAGATCATGGCAAAGTGAAGTAGTCAAATGCAGCTTAAAATAAAACTTAATATCAGTACACTTTCTCTGTGCCTATTAAAAGTCGTCGTGCACTGAAGAGGACTAACTGCAAAGAGCTGATGGGCACATTACTGTATGAAGCACCTCTCCCTCCAGCTGCAATTCTACTGGTAAATCCCTTTCATTGTCAGAATAATCCCCAGGTAGAGAAACACTGGTTTTAATATGTAGCTCTGGGCAACAAGAGGTGATTAACAAGAAAACCTCTGAAGATGACTTCCATCCTCTGTCTCATTAGTTAGAGTGATTAATCTTCATTTTCTGCCTCTTCCCTTCCCTAGCTATCTTCATGCTTTAGTTGAAAAGCATTATTGTGGTGATGAGAAAAAAAAATCAAACTTAATTTCTTGCCCTGTTTATTTTTAAATTTGGGGTATTTAATCAACAGAATCCTTGGTTTTACTATTTCTACCTCTCTCCCAACATACACCCCTTCCTCAACTCTAAAGCAAGCGTCTTTCTTTCACTTACCTTAGAAATTTTATTTGGATTCAAACAATTATTTTTATTTCTTGGTAGAAAATAGATAATCCATCTTTAATGTGCCTTTATGATCTTTTTCCTTGCAAAAGTTTTTTTTAAGGAAAAAAACCAGTTTTGTTTGGAATAAGATTCTGCTTAGGTAATTCTGTGAGGTCATTTACTTTTAGTTCTTTTTTATCGGTAATACAACATTGTTTTGTCATCGCGTCAGGAGATACCTGCTTTGTGCTGGGCGCCTCCAGGTGTCCGCTGTTCCTGCAGCCATACCTCTTACTGAATGTGTTAGCACTCAGGCCTTGATGGAGAGAGGACTAAGAGGCCGAAAGCCTGTGTAACTGATGGCCGAGTTTGGTAGACAAAACACATATATACAAACCTACTTCTAGCAAGCAGTGTTTTTCAAGCTTTTTTGACCATTGAGAAATAAATATTATGAAATATATTTTACACTGCGACCCAGTTCTCTCCCCCCTAACTGAAACAAAATTTCTTGAAACCATGTTTACCTTACTACATGTTCTCATATTTTCTATTCAACTTCATTATTTAATGCACTGATCAAAGCCATCAAAATTTCAGAGCAATGTTTCAGACCAAGGGGAAATGTGGTATAAATTCCAGGTGTCAAACAGTGGACCCACTTTTCCTCTAGTTCGAGTTCTGCCTTCTTAGGAAACCTTCTCTGCCAACCCCAGGTCACCTCAGTGTCCCTTCCCGGAATCCTTTTTGCACACATGGTTGGTATCTCACTGATTTACTCTGCTCTTATTCAGTCGTCGAACCTCAGTAGTTTGAACCGTCTGTTACCAAGGTGAACATTTAGAAGTAAGTGGAAAAGGCTCAGCAGCAGTGAGCATCCCAAAGCTCGTGTCCTTTACTTGGTGGGAGAGATACCAAGCGAAGCTCACCCAGCACTTAGTATTTAAAATCGTGCGTGAGGGCCGGCCCCGTGGCTTAGCGGTTAAGTGCGCGCGCTCCGCTACCGGTGGCCCGGGTTCAGATCCCGGGCGCGCACCGACGTACCGCTTCTCCGGCCATGCTGAGGCCACGTCCCACATACAGCAACTAGAAGGATGTGCAACTATGACATACAACTATCTACTGGGGCTTTGGGGAAAAAAAGGAGGAGGATTGGCAATAGATGTTAGCTCAGAGCCAGTCTTCCTCAGCAAAAAGAGGAGGATTAGCATGGATGTTAGCTCAGGGCTGATCTTCCTCACAAAAAAAATAAATAAATAAATAAAATCTTGCGTGAGAGGGTGTTTCCATTTATATACAGGGCTCTCCAGTTTTCCAGCTGACAGCTGTACAATACTGTGGTATAATCGTATAGAAATTAATGTTCATGGTGATACTGTGTTGTCAATACTATTTTTAATATATGCTTTGAAGAAGGCAGAGAAATAGATAACAGATTTAGATTTTTCCTTTAAAATTATTAAGTAAGTTGCAATTATCTGGAAAACTACTTATGTGGAAAAACTGGTGCAGACTGAATGGAGTATTATTTATATCTTGTTCTGTATTATGTTCTTATTATTTGGGGTAGATGTCTTGTTTCACTAAGCAGACTATGAGTAGGGCATAACCACATTTAAAAAATTTTTTTCCACCAAGTACCTGGAACATAGTAGCTGCTCTCAATATATGTTTATTGAATAAAGACTTAGGATTCAGTCAAGGGTGATCAGAGTGAGGTGAGGTTAATCTGGGAATGCCTAGGAGCAACTCTTGAGCCTGCATTTTTTGTGTGTGTGTGTGTGTGAGGAAGATCAGCTCTGAGCTAACATCTGATGCCAATCCTCCTCTTTTTGCTGAGAAAGACTGGCCCTGGGCTAACATCCGCGCCCATCTTCCTCCACTTTATATGGGACGCCGCCACAGCATGACCTGACAAGCAGTGCATCGCTGCGTGCCCGGGATCCGAACCTGGGCCGCCAGCAGCGGGGAGCGCGCACTCAACCACTGTGCCACAGGGCCGGCCCTGAGCCTGCTTTGAAGATGGTGTGAGCTGTGGATTAATAGAGGGGGAAGAGCAGCTCAGAGGGAGGATTTCCAACATGCCTTAATTTTATCAGATTCTAGAGTTCTTGTGATGACCTCAGCATATTGCTAGACCAGTATTGTCCAAAATGTAGTTATTAATCGACTATATCTATCTTAGTTTCTAATAAATAGTTTGCCTATCTTAGTTTCTAATAAATGGTTTGCCTTTACTACTGATAAATAGTCTTTTGAATTGGACTTTTCAAAAGAAAAAACTTTAACCAGTTTTCTTTTACTCCTTACCTTGTTTCAACGAATGTAATGATATGATCCTTTACATTCATAAGAGATATGTGATTAAGTTATTTGGTTAAACTGTAAAATTCTTAATCCTTTATTATTCTTTTGAGACATACATGGCCTTAAAGCTTGCAAACTGGGATCACTAATGAACACACTTCATTTAGTCTTTCTGCAATCAGAATATGATTTTTTGTTATCTTGCACAACACTGAGAACAGCGCAACACAGGGCGAAGGTTGGTCTGCAGCCCTTAGGCCAGCAAAAATGAGACGCCACTGCTCCTCTGTGCAAATGTTCCTGACATAACCTTGAGGGGAAAATATCAAATGCAGCTTTTTCTTTGAATAGATTGCTTAGTAAGTACCTGGGAAAACTCCATAAAATAATGAGTTTTCATAGTTAAATTATAATTTTTTTTTAACTTTTATTGAGACTAGGTTTTTTGTTTGTTAGTTTAATCACTGTCAGTTTTACTGAGGCCCTTCCTGGCACCATCCTTTATTTCTGAGTTGTGGAGAGCCAACAGTTCTTACCCAGTGCTGCGTGGTTCACCTGAAATCCATGGACAGAGGAGGAGGAACAAAATCACTGATGACCTTAATGGTCATTTTTCACATAGTCAAGGCATTTTTATTATCCGTTTGAATTAAATTAAGATTTTTTTAGTGCTACATTCTTGACTAAGTTTTTTGCCTCTCTTTTTGGTTAATTTTTATTTGTAGAAAATATGTTGATTAACTAAAAGCAAATTTCACTATATAAGGTTTTATTCTGCCAAGAACATGATAAAAATAATGAAAGCTGCTTTGCATCTTTTTACAGGTCCATCGAGCCTCTGTACCTTACCTATGGAATCATATTTGCCTGTGGCTGCTCCTTTGCGTACCAGCCTTCATTGGTCATTTTGGGACACTATTTCAAGAAGCGCCTTGGACTGGTGAATGGCATTGTCACCGCTGGCAGCAGTATCTTCACAATTTTGCTGCCTTTCCTTTTAAGGGTTCTAACTGACAGTGTGGGCCTCTTTTCCACACTGAGGATCCTCTCCATCTTCATGTTTGTTCTCTTTCTGGCTAGCTTCACCTACCGACCTCTTGCTTCCAGTGCCAAAGATAAAGAGAGTAGAACCGAAGGAGGCAACAGATTCTCCCTCTTTTCCAGGAGAAGGTTCAGTCCTCCAAAAAAATTTTTCAATTTTGCCATCTTCAAGGTGACAGCTTATGCAGTGTGGGCAGTTGGAATACCACTTGCACTTTTTGGATACTTTGTGCCTTATGTACACTTGGTGAGTATGCTTCTTTGGCTTTGCTGGTAATGGATATTATTATTTCATACAGAAAACTTCTTAGAAGAATAAGATAGATCAGTTTGAAGTTGGCCTTAAACATTATTCTGGTTGTAATTCAGGGACTCATGAAATTCAAGATCTCTTAAGACAAGGTCAACATATCCATCAGATCATTAAACAGAGGATATGTTTCATGATGTGCTTTGGTATTTAAAAAATCACCAAACTTAAAAAAAAAAACTTAAAAAAAATAAAAGGCTAAAATTAAAATGTTGGAACAAATGTCATCAATACAAAAAACTTGATAGGTCACTTTTTCTTTAAGTGGCTTACAAATCATAATCAGAGACAGAGATGGTACAATGATTTTGCCAACATCAGTAAATTATTTTTCAACAAAAAGATGCAGAAATTAGGTGCATTGTAAAAGCCAATGGCCTTGACACAGGGAGTCATTACATCCACTTGTGGGATACTTCTAGGAAAATGGGAATTCTATTCAGAAGATTATTGGAGAAATGTTAGCAAGTTCCAAATGAAGGGAGAGAGAAAGAGTTTCACAGGAAATTAGGATTTCAAGTGCTCAAGCAATTTATATATTGTTTATTTCTATTTCAAAGGCAGCCTTTTTATACTGAAACAAGAATTTGCCTCTAGCAAAATTTGCTCAAAGGGCTTATTATGTTTCTTCCTGTTTTCTTACTGTTGTAGCTGAAAATGTATTCCAGTTCAACATAGTTGATAAATGATAATTAAAAATGATACTAGGACAAATTTTTCTTTTGTGTGTGTACTATGTGTGTGAACTTGGATCTTTTCTAGCTTGCAGTCTACTTTTGGACGTTTGTGCAATTTTTCTTTAGTTACAAGTTTTGGTGAAAGTTGGTAACACAATTCAAAGAATTACTGGGTTCAAGGGGTCATCTAGTAAACTATGTCATCAACCCCTTGTGGGTTCCCATGCATAGTTCAGAAAGGAATTAGGTCACGGAACCACAAAGAGAGATGGGAGGCATGTCCTGGATCAAAGAATAATTTTGATTTCTCAATTTTCCTTTTTCTTTTTTTGCCAGAGGTGTTGAGGAAGCAACTGGGATGACCACTGGGGAGACAAGGAGAAGGACTAGTTTTTCATACTCTGAGCCGCTTGGCATTTTGCAGAGACTGAGGTCCTAGGTAAAATGACCTAGTATGTGACCCCTGCTGTATGTGCAGTATGTGGCTACATTGATCTGATAGTCCATTTTCACACTTTTAGCAAGGCATATCTGAACCATCTGAAGCTATTTTTTGTTAGAATATAGATCCATTGTGGAAGGATCAACTTTACCCTAACTTCTGTAGTTAAGAAAACATTTATGTTCTTCTAAAAGATAGATAGATTTTTTTTTTTTGAGGAAGATTGGCCCTGTGCTAACATCTGTTGCCAATCTTCCTCTTTTTCTTTTTTCTCCCAAAGCTCCAGTACATAGTTGTATATCCTAGTTGTAGGTCCTTCTAGTTCTTCTATGTGGGATGCCGCCTCAGCATGGCTTGATGAGCAGTGAGTGAACTGGCAAACCCTGGGCCACCGAAGCGGATCGCATGAACTTAACTGCTATGCCATCGGGCTGGCCCCAGATTTTTAAAAATTTTCTTTGGCACTACGAGGTGAACACACCCAGAGAAATCAATATCTCAGCTTTGCTAATACCAGACATTTACCAAAGGACAAGTGGTAGGTGATGGTCCAATTATTTCTGGTAATATATTTGTAATTTGTAAATTAATTTCACATATATTATTTCATTTATCCTTCACAATAAACCTGTGACATAGGCAAAATAAATAATGTTAGCCCATGTTTACAAACTGGAAAACAGATCCATCATTAACAGAGATGTTAAGTGAATCACATAATAGCAGAGCAGGGGTTGGCTCCCGTCCTCTGTGCTTACCTGGTAGCAAATCTAGTACAGTCTCCCTTTGGAGCATATTGGGCCACTTCCCTGGATATACCACCAGATATGTGCATCTTACTGGGGGTAAAATAAGTATGCCTAAAGTTATTGGTCTTTTTCCTAAAGTAGATCAAATTTCATAGTGAGTGATGAGTTAGTGTTATAAATAGTATTGTCATCAGGAGGCTGTAAATCAGACAATACACAGAACAATAAGGTCTGTGTTAACTCTGATAACAAACCGGGCCTTTTTTCTGTTCTCCTTCCTTCCAGGTATGTTTTCTTACAAAACGTGTTGATATTTTTCATTTGGGATTTCCTCTTTGTTAAACTGCTGTGGCGCTGAAAGCCACGTTAGAGAGGAAACACCAGACAGTTAAATGCCGTGCAGGCTGATGGGTGTGCTGGCTTTGTCACTGTGTTGTCATTTAAGGTTTGGATTATGGATACGTAATCCAGGCGTCATGGACAGGGACACCACTTTCCTCCTTAGAGGGGGAAAAGGTGTCTCAAATCTTTCCAAAGACTGGTAGGTAATGTTCAACTCATATTAAACCCTTTATTGGGTGTTGAAGGGGATACACATGGGAGGCATAAGAACCTGTCCTGAAGGAGCATTAAGTGTAATCATAAAGACTGTTATAGTTTATAAAGGACTTTTACATGCATCGTCTTATTTAATCTTCACAACAATGCAGTACCTGTGGTGTAGCCTCCTCACTTCGTAGATGAGAAGACTGAGGCTCTTGAGAGGTTTAAAAACTTGCCCAGGGTCACAGAAGGAGTGACTGATGATTATTAGGATAGTACTTGCATGTAAGAGGCAGTATGTATAGTGGGTAAACGTAAAGCTCTGAAGTAAGGCAGATCTGGGTTTAAATCCTGGTTTTGTCCCTTACTAGTTGCATAACCTTGCATGACCTCTCTAAGCGTCAGTTTCTTCATCTATAAAATAGAGATAAACCCAATTTTGTAGAGTTGTTGTAAGGATTAGAGAAAATGTATGTCAAGTGTCTATCCAATTCTGGTATAAAAGGAGAGTTATTTTGATTAAGACAATGCGATTGCCAATTGAGTGGTTTTAGTGGGGGCTATAGAAGAGTCAAAGGAGAAAGATGATATCCGCTGGGAAGAGTGGTTAGTAAAAGCTTCGTAGGATTGGAGTTGGGCCTTGAGCATGAGATTTGGTGTTAAAACCAGACCCTTAATCAACTGGGGAACTAATTTATCTATCTAGGTCTTCTTTGAAGATTCAGAAGTACAATGAAGTGCTCTCATGGTTATGCTAAAAATTCTAAGATCTTATTTATTTAGCTATATACGTGATGATTTGAGAGAGAGTGTGTATGCTTTGTGGCAATCTTGCACTCAAAGCAAGGTTGGAGGTTTTATCTTTTAGTAGTTGACTTTTAAAAATGAAGCATTATATTGCTTCCTGGAAGCTGTCAAGTGATCTCCGTTTTAGGCCTACCCACTTATAATCTCCATTGTAAGGGTACAAATCTTATAGATCAATTTAGGTGAAACCTAACTTTCTAATAACCATTCCTAGTAGCAGCTACTTCAGTTTTTATGAATTGCCCCTTTTGCCTGAGAGTTGTTTTTTGGGTTATGTTTTTATGGCTCCTCCTTATTCAATTTTTCTTCAGAAGCATCACTCTCTTAGTTTTCCTCTTACCTCTCCATCACTCCTTCTTAGTTTCTTTGCTGGTTCCTTCTTTTTCACCCTGACCCTGAATATCAGTAGTCCTAGGGCTTGCCCCTTGATCTTTTTATCTACTCATTCCACTGGTGGTTTCATCCAGTCTCCTGAGTTCAAACATCATATATATGCCAATGACTCTAAATTTATATTTGTAGCCCAGACCTCTTTCCTGAATTCTCCAACAGACTTTTAAAGCCAACTGCTTACTTAATATCTCCACTTGGATGACTGCTAAATGTTTCAGATTTAACATGTCCAACCCTGAAGTCCTGATCTTACCCCCCTCAAAACCTGCTCTGCCCCCAGCCATCCTCATCTCCGGAGATGGCAATTCCATCCTTTTAGTTGATCAGGCCCAAAGCCTCGGAGTCATCCTTGGTTCTTCTTTCTGTCACACCACATTCCTGATCCAGACTGGAAATCCTGGTGGTTCTCTTTTCAAAGTATATCCAGGATCTGACCACCTCTCATCCCCCTCACTACTGCATCTTAGACCAGGCCACCATCATCCCTGGCCTGGATCACTGCGATAGCCTCCTAACCTGTCTCCCTGCTTCTTTCCCTGCCCCTTGCAGTCTGTTCTCTACACAGAAGCCACAGGTATTCTTTCAACACTTAAGTCACTCTGCTCAGAATTCTTCAAAGGCTCCTCCTTTCTCTGAGAGTAAAAACTAATGTCCTTATAGTGGCCTTAAGGTCCTCCATGATCTGGTCCCTCCTACCTCTCTGATCTCATCTTCTGTCCCTGTCCCCCTTACTTACTTTGCTCCTGCAACACTGGCCTCTTTGCTAATCACCTTTTAATAAGCCTTACCCTGACCACCTGGTTAAAACTGCCTTCTTCCTGTCCCCTTCACAGCATTCCCAAACCCCCTCACACTGCTTTTTTTTCTTTTTCCATAGCACTTACTACCTTCTAATATATTACATAATTTACTCATCATGATTATTGTTTGCCGCCTGTATGTGTATCTCTGCTAGAATGTAAACCCCATGGTTTCTCTGTTTTGTTCAGTTTCTCTGTAGACCCCATGGATCTTTCTCTGTTTTGTTCAGTGATAGAGCCCCAGCACCTGGCATAGTGCCTAATGCACAGCGGGTGCTCAAATATCTGTTGAATGACTAAATATATTATAAGTAAGTCTAAAGTGACATTCCATAAGAAATATACATTTTCTCATCATTTTAATCTTTAAAATTCTCTGCTTTGATGCCATAATGATTTTTTACATTTTGTACTTATGGGACATGATGGTATTCATTTTCATGAAACACTTAACAAATAAGCTTAAACTCAGCAAACCTGAGAATAATTGAGTAACACTAATTCCATCTGTTGATGGAGCAGAGTT